ATTAATAGAACTCTTTCAGGCTTTTTAGTAGATTATGTAAAGTTGCTTTAACAAGTGCCTCTGAGAATGTTATAAAGGTGCATGTCATAAAAGTTAAAGCACAAATGATACTGTTATTACATTACAATCTTGTACTAGATCCGCTGAGTGCTTTGTCTGAACCACTCCTTCTTGGTTGGCCTTCTGATGAGGTGTGTGACTCTTGAGAGAGGCCTCTAGAACACTAGTGTAAATGGTTCTGTGTTCTTTTTAGATTTTGGCTGCATTTATTTTCCAGTATTTACGTTTTCTTCCTCCTGTGTGCACTGAGTGATCTGCATGTGTTGTTAAACTAAACTCAGTAAGACTAGACTCTTTTTTTAGCATAGCCTACTTGTGTCCTTATTGACAAAATGTTAGATTGTTTCAAAAACAATCTTTTCAAAATGGTCTCTTATTCTGTTCACCTGTACTGATAGAGGGACCACATTTAGACTTTTAAAAACACATCATAGGACTTAAAATAAGAGACTTAATTTTTTTTTTTTTTTTACAAACTAGTAACCAAGAATTTTTTCTTCTGTCTTTTTAAACATGTATTCTATCTGATATTTGGTTACCTATACTAACTATAACTGCAGTGTTTCATACAAATCAATAACTTATTTTTTTCAAAACAATTAATGTTATCTACTACATTGATTTCTGTAAATATTTATTTTTTAAAGTTCTGAAATATTTTATTCCTCAATCATTTATACTACGTTGTATTATTATTTATTACAAGGGTTGCTATATTCTAACGTATCTTTCTATACATATGCACATATAGAAAGATATTTTCATAGGAAACCGATGCTGACACATAGACTGCCATCATTTGTAATGCCTATTTCGAATCTAATTATTTTCAACTAACCATTAAGAGTATCAGATATATTTCGAGCAGCACAATTAAACTACAGAGTTAGTGCTTACTGCTAACATAGTCTGTGTATTTATATATGATAAACAATAAAGTCAAATGGCTTTACTTTTAGAGAAAGAAAAAAATCCCTAAGCACTTTCTTGGTGGTGAAATGCTTGGTAATGTGCTGCTCTATTTCCCTCACTCCTAGTAAGTTCTGTAGTAATAAGCAGAAGCTCTTCAGAATGTACACCTCACGGAAGCAGAGGTATCCAGCATCCGGCTATTGACATGAGATTTGAGAATGCCAACTAACTTAAGGTGCATGACCAGGTTACACCGCCACCCTCACCTGAGCCCTGTTCAGAGACTCACTCTTCATAGGGACTTCTTGAATGAGGTTTTTAACTCGCTTGTAATTTTACTTTGTTGCCTGTTGCCTGCTTTGATACTCTCTACCACTGGGGCAATAGGCAGGGTCCAGCACAGTGCTGGCAGTCAGCCCCTTGGTGCCCCCTTGTGGTTGGACAACTGCTGAGCTGCTGCCCGCACTGGATTGTTGTGGCTCAGTTGCCATATTGTGCCTGAGGCGAGAATTTGTAGAATGCTTATCCTATGAAGGGCTAAAACCCTAATTAAGTATTACAATAACTACAGCATTCTAAATCCAAGAGGATTACTGTGGGGTTACAGTGAAGCCACAGAGTTCCCTGGCAGGGAATATCCAGTAATAGGCTGCATGCTGTGCCATTTGAACAACTTGCACATCTGGTTCCTAGAGAGGAAGAATTCCCTTGCAGAGCGGTTGTGCAGGCAACCCTAAGTATGGTCCTCAGCTGGGAATGTGGGACTGAATGCTAAGAAAGATGCCCCAATCAATGACCCTAGTAACCTTTTGGTTACTTTCTCCAAAGAGAGACCTCCTTGTTGGTCTCCCAGGGATAATTCCTGGCTTTCTTCCTAAAAACACTGTTGCATAAATCTTCCTGAAAAATCATGTTTATAAGATGTCACAAAAAAAAGCTGGAAAATAATGAAAACTAATGTGCCAGTGGAGAGTCTATATTTTTAATCAATGTGTGTTTTCAATAATAGCTACCTAATCAGTTTAATAGCCATCTAATCAAGATGCTCTGTTGATTTCCAAAGGGGAAACAAAGTAGAAAACTAGTAAAAAGGAGCTTTTTGTAAGAGGACACAAGAACAGAAATTTTGCCTGGTTAAAAAGTTCTGGATTAGGATCTTATTTTTAGCTTTCATACAATCATGTCAAAAGAGAGTGAAAACACTGCATTTTTTCTAATTTAGTGTGTAAGATGTTGATTTCATTTTAAAAATCGTTCTTGAGAATTTTTGTTTAATATTAGATATCAGCAAATAGTCATAGTCTAGAAGGACAAAAGGGTAAATGATACCTAGAACTAATTTGTATCACCTTCAAAGGCTTTAAATGCTACCGGAATTCAGAGAATGATATTATCCCCATTTTTATTAATTCTTAGAGGTAATATCAAAATGTTCTACAGGAGCAATTTTAAAAAGTATTTTCATGGGGACAATTTTAAAACATACTTTTTTTATTTTAGATAAATCATGGTGGATTTGATGCCAGTATCTTCATTTTAGATATTTTTTAGTTTTCAGTAACTGAAATTTTTAAGAAGGAAAAAATAAGGTTCATTTTAAATGATGTTATGATGCTTTTACCAGTCTCCTGTTCGTTTAGTTGGCATAAGAAAGACATATCTTGAAAGTTTCAGAAAATAATTTGATATTAACTAAACCCAACCTTCCATAGCAATTAGTACCTGTTAGTTCCAGAAAAGGTAATAGGATCAGAAAAGACACCGTGAGGACACTTGTAAAGATAGCTATGTCAACTTGAGTCATTCAGTAATCTAAATAAAGGGGCAGAGCATCATAATTTTAAGTGATGGAACAGATGTGCTGAAACCAAAAAGAGATTTAGAATTTTTACAATTTAAAAAAAAAAAAAAAAGCTTAGGCAAAGTAGACATTTTGGACACTATCCCTTTGATGGGTTTGTTTAATTGAAGGCTTTTGGATGACATTGAGAACCTAGCCTGAGAATAAAAAGATGCAGTTTTATGATGTTATTGTTGCTGTTGTTTAATATAATTTATCATTTAATCACATTTGTCGAGTACAGATAAATCCTTCGACTGATGGGATTGTTTAAAAGAACTCTTGAACCCACCTTACCCCATCACAAAACTGCCCGGCCTGTAGTTTGCATGTCGCCTTCAGCTGATCATGCTAGACTTAGCTGTGTTTCCATTTCAGAAGAGGAGCTGTCAGTTGCATGATCAACTTGTTTATTGTTACCAGGACTCTCTGACCACCATAGTTCATAATTTGATTTGTTTTCATATAAACACACATAAAACGTGGTGTCTTCTTAGAATCTCATTTGTTAAGCAACGAGGCATGGAAAAATAAATGTTGCTGTTTCTTGTTATACAAAACACATATCCACTAAAACACATTTGCTGTTGGCATGCTGCAGTTTGGGACAGCAGACATTGCAGTAAGTGGAAAAGACAAGGCTTCCGCTTCGTCTCAGATAATTCTTGTCCGTGAGAACAGGTCTCTGCATCTCAAAGTGGTTGCTCTGAGTGGCTCCCCGTGAAGCCTCCTGCGCCATCATTTCTTCAGGCCCTGCAGAGTCCTAGGGCTCTCACATTGATAACAGTGTCACCCTTTAATGAATAGCACAAGTAGTTTCTGAAAGAAACAAGAAGACAAACAAATTAGGTACACAAAGCTTCTTACACATGACAGCATTCCTAAGGAAAGGAAAATAATCCCCATGTATATGCTGAATGTGGGGTCAACCTCAGCAGTCTATGTAGGGAACCAAACTTTTTTTTTTTTTTAACTTTACTTGTGTGTGGTAAATATATATGTAACAAAATATTTGACATTTCAACAATTTTTGTATGTACAATTTAGTGACACTATGTTCATCATGTTGTTGAACCAGGGAGCCAAACATTTTATCTACCATGTACCAGGCATTTCACATACTCATTATGGTTCATTTGATTCCCACAAAAATCCCTTAGCTATATTGCTATTTTTATCTCCATGTTAGAGATAAGGACTCCAAAACCCAGAGAGGTGAAGTGACATGGCTGATAAGGCAGGGAAAGCTGGGATTCCAATCCAATCCAAGTCTCTCTGACTCCACCATGTGCTTCCTACCACATCGCACCACTTCTTTTCCTTAGGGAAGTATGGAGTGCACTTTGGATTTTGTTGCTACTGTTGTTGGTAATGCTTCCTTTATCAGCCCACAAGAATTCAATCTTAGCTGGCATCTGAGAACTGAATGTCTGGACAAATATAATTTACCGGTAGCTGCCACAGCAAAATCAATAACCTGTTTAATAGCAGGAAATTGTCTTAGTGCACATAACATCTCATTCCATTAATCAGTCATTACATTCATTGAATGTTGGGGCTGTTCTATCTTGCCGGTTTGTCTCACAAGAATGAATGCAAGCAAAAAGAAATGTGATGTTAAGTGTTGTGTGTTTAATATTATGTATGCAGTGCTACCAACTGCTATGAAATTGCATGAATTTATGGATATCGTAATCTTGCCTGAAATATAAAATGCATGCAGAATGTAGATATATATATATGAAATTGTCATCCCTGTTTTCCTGTAGAAATGTTTAGAAATTACAAAGAGATATGCTCCCAAATAAGAATTTTTTTTATATCTCCAAAGATGAGGTAAAAAGTAAAATCACCCACCTTTTTCTGAAGTGAATACCAAACCAGTTCTTGGATGTTTCCAGTGCAATTGTGTACAGACTACTTACTTTGTCTTAGTCCTTTCTATGATGAATCCAAGAAGGAGTGTGTATACCGGTAGAATGAGATTAATTTCAAATGAATGTAAACGTAGAAATTAAATAAAGCTCAAATTTTCAATAAGGGGAAAAATACATCGCTATGCTCCTACTTACTGAAAACATTTTATCTATTGAAACATATAACCATCTAGAGTTTCATCAAATTATTTACCCAAGTGGAGTGGAAGAAATTGCTTGAAATGGAATAATCATGCCTCTGTTCTCCACAGTCAGAAGCTAAGTTTTAAGGAGCGAGTGCGCATGGCTAGCCCGAGGGGCCAGAGTATTAAGAGCAGACAAGCCTCGGTAGGTGACAGGAGGTCCCCGAGCACCGACATCACAGCCGAGGGCAGCCCCACCAAAGTACAGAAGAGCTGGAGCTTCAACGACCGAACCCGCTTCCGCCCCTCGCTGCGCCTCAAAAGTTCTCAGCCAAAACCAGTGATAGATGGTAAGGCCTGTTTTTCCATAACCATTCATTTGAATAGGCTATAGTGAGAGGGTTTATGAAGTAATTAATTCACCGTAGTACTACCTGAAGATGGAAGGAAACAACCCCAGGGAAAGAATTGTTTGTTTTGTTGGAAATTTATTCACTGCCTTGGCCAAATGTACAAAGCATAAGTTTATGTTTGGAACCAGCTTTAGCAGCTAAATCTACATTTCAAAGAAGCCAAACAAAATTGTGTTAATTCTTCATTATATCTACAACATGGAGCCCTGGTGGCACAGTGGTTAACCAAAAAGTCGGCAGTTTGAATCCACCAGCCATTCCTTGTAAACCTTATGGAACAGTTGTACTCTGTCCTATAGAGTTGCTATGAGTCGGAATCGACTTGATGGAATTGGGTTTTTTTGTTTTTGTTTTTTTTAATCTACAACATTTATTTCTCAGATAAGATTTATATCACGATCAATGTGACTGTTCTGATATATATCTTGGACCTGATAAGCAAAGGCCCAAGGACAATGGTGTTCTGTGAGTGTCTTGAAACACAATTAGTTGAATAACAGCACCTTTCTGGACAGCAATAAAAGTGCTGTTACCCTTTCCAATATGCTCCATCTCCTGCTAAATCGAGACCACTGCTTACATTCTTTAGAAAGATTCCTGTTGAAAGTTCTTTCAAAGTCTTCCAATGATAACTGAAATGCAAGTTCTTCTCCCAAGAGGAATTAACCTATTTTATTTATCCTATTATGTAGCAGAAGTTTACTTGCCAACACATTTTATTGAGTGCCACGTAATTTTCATGTTTATAAAATAAAACATTTTATTTTTCATTTAAGATTAGCTTGGCTTTCCTTTTAAGTGTGCCCCCTGGGATCTCTTATGCTGGGCAAAGAACCAAAATCAAATAGCATCTTCTATTAGTGCATAAAAATTGCAAAGGCTATCAGCCTTTCTGTTCTCATTCCATAGCAGAACCTGTATTTTCCCAGGCCCTGGAAGCCCCAGGGATAAAATTAACAACGTGGGTCAATAATTGCAGTGATCTCACACTCTCTGCAGAGAAATCCCTGGAACCCCAGCCCACAGTCCCTCCCTGCTCATTCAGGATCCTTGGGGACATCTCTCCCACTCTCAAGTGACCAATACGAGTCCCCTCTTCACATGTCCTCATTCTCCATGGCCCGGTAGATCCCATGCTCTCCATGGAGACTCCAAGTTGCTGACCCGATTTGGCCACTCCTGGCAGAGTTTACAGCTTCCATCTCTGTCACAGGACATGCTGATCCTGCCATGCTTCCCTTCACCTGTTGCTGTGCTAGGGTGGGAGATGCCTCTTCTACTGGCACTGGACACTCCTCCATCAAGCCACTCGTGGCACCCTGAGTCACTGCTGGCACAGCTTTTCAGTGTACTCCGGTTTCCACTCTTCTCCCTAGGAATTTGGCTGAAAGCCCAATAGCAGCTGAGTCAAGAGCAACTAGTGACAAAGCTTTATGCTGCACTCAAAATAGACTCTCTGAATGTAAATGGGTGCACCCTTTCTGGAAGGCAATTTGGCAATATATAGCAAAAGCCTTTAAATATGCATAATCTTGGACACATACCACCCACCAATTCCATTTCTAGGAACTTATCCTAATGAAATAACAAAGGACTTAATTACAAGAAAATTCATCCAAGTATTGTTTACAGTATTGAAAAATAGTAAGTAACTTGTATTTCCAATAAAGGTTTGAAAATCTAGATAATCAACAAGGATTTGGTTAAACAAATTAGGCTGCATTAATATAATAAAATACTATCAGACATTAAAAAATGATACTGCAAAATAAAATTTATTGACAGGGAAAGAGGATCACAGAAAAATATTCTGTTCTTGTTTATATACATATATTGTATAATATATATATATATATGTGTACACACCTATTCCTCACTCATCGACATGGTTGGTTTCCAAAGACCAGGTTGTTATGCAAAAATTAGCGTTATGCTAAAATGGAAGATGACCACATCAAATTACAAAATGGAGGGTGACTACATCATTATATAGCTGCCAAATTACATCATTTTGTAACTACCAAACCACTGAGAATCATGGCCCAGCCAAGCTGACACATAACCTTAACCGTCACAGTTAGCATTACTCTCGCTTCACACCTCGGTGTTCGTTACTGCCACAAGAATATCGTTAATGTGCAAAATAGTTGGGTAGTAGATTTTTTACTATCGTTATAAATGGGAAATGTCAGATAATGAGATAGTAAGTGAGGAGTAATTTATATTATATATGTATATATAAATATATATATACACATATATACATATATAATATGTATTCGTGTATATAGAAATAAATACATATATAATATATATAATAAATTCACATATTTATAAGAAAAGGTCTGGAAAGATTTACAACAATGTATTAACAGTTACTTCCAACTGGTGGGATTATAGGTATATTTTGTTCCCTCATTTTTTTATCTGTATTTCCTAATATTTCTTCAATGAAGTTGTAAAGCTTTTGTAGTAAGAAAACAAAAGAAGATTTTCCAGTAAAAAATTAGCTCTTCCTTTCACACATTGCCCTCTCCTCTCTGCCAACTTCGGTGGCCCTTGGTAGTTCTAACCAGGACTCGCCAACCTCTCTCCTTAGGCTGACTCCTCTCAAGTGGTATGCTGTCTGAGTGGGTCTTAATGCTGGGGACCAGCCTTCATTGAGGGCAGCCATCTACTCTCTAATGAGATTTAACTGCTTCTGCTTCAAACAGAGCTCCTGCTCACCCACATCACAGCATCCCTGGGTGTGCTGCTGTGTGGATCCATATCTTCAACCCTGGCCCTGGGTTCACACTTTACGAGAAATGCATACATTACACACGTGGGTCCACACTCTCCTAAAGTGGGCTTCAAAAAGCACTCAGCTCCATGCTGTGAGGCCCTTAGGGTTGGCTTAGCACATTTAAATATAAAATTCATAGAACCTGGATTCTGAATATGGAAAATGAATTCTACTTGTATCTTTGTCCAGAGGAAAAGGGTTTTTCAAAGACTTGCTAGCATTGGCCCTATCCATCACAGTATTTTCAGTGTTTGCAAAGATATCTAAGGGTCAGATGGATAGAAACAGAAGTCCTATTCGCTCTCAGATCACAAATTGGAAAGGCCTCCTGTCATCTCTTTTATACAGCATTTCATACAGGTGCTGTTTTGTTTAGTGAGACGGGAATTGCTTTTCCCTGGTTGATGCCCATCTCAATTGATTCTGAGTTCCCCAAGGGACGGGAGGCCTGATTGCTGCTCTGTTTAAGTAGCTTTGTTGGCTGCACACCTGCAGGAGGAGATTGTGGCTCCTGACTCATTCTATCTGATAGTCCAGAGTCTAGACCTCATTTAACTTGACACTAGGTCTTTGGAAAACAGGTTTTTTTGTTGTTGTTGTTGTTATTGTTATTGTTGTTGTTGGAAAAAACTGATGTAGCTGTTGGAAAAAATGAATGTAAAGTTCAATTATTCATTTTTATTTATAGCGCCTCTCCAGGTTTTAAGTATTTCTAAAACCACTTACTAGCCATAGAAAATAATGTATAAACACTACAGCTAACTCCCAGTTATTCCAGGCCTATTTGCTTGTTCATTTGTAGGGCTGTTTTCTTCTACTTCTCTCTTTCCTTTACGTATTTTAGGCATTTCACTGCCCCTTAGCATGCTCAGGGAGAGTAGATGAATAACAGATAGAATAATGGAAATTCAGATCAAGCTTTTGGTTAAAAACTAAAAGTTACAAAGTTACATTTGGAAAATCTTAATGGGCCTGTAATTGAAAGATACTATAATAGAAAAACAAAAGAAATTTAGGTTAATGTGTAAATTCTAATAACTGCTGCCAAATCTGAATCCCTTTACTTCAGATGGATCCCTGGTGACACAGTGGTTAAGTGTCTGGCTGCTAACCAAAAGGTCGGCTGGTCGAATCCACCAGCCGCTCCTTGGAAACCCTGTGGGGCAGTTCTACTCTGTCCTGTAAGGTCACTATGAGTCAGAATCAACTCAACAGAAGCAGGTTTTGGTTTTACTTTGATGGTTTCTGTGGTTTTTTTTTAATTTAATGACTCTTACGAAAGGTTATTGTCTTAGTTATCTAGTGCTGTTATAACAGAAATACTATAAGTGGGTGGCTTTAACAAACAAATTTATTTTCTCACAGTTTAGGAGGCTAACAGTCTGAATTCAGGGTGCCTGCCCTAGGGGAAGGCTTTCTTTCTCTGTGTGTGGACTCTGGGAGAAGGTCCTTGTCTCTCTTCAGCTTCTGTTTCGTGGTTCCTTGGAGATCTCCTATGGCATGGCATCTATCTTCCCCCATCTCTGCTTGCTTACTTAATCTGCTGAATCCATTATCCTTTCTTTCCCTCCAGTTTCTCCCATTTGTAATGGATATGTCTGCTTTTTCAAATCTCTAAAGGGATTGACTAATGCTTCCTCATTAACAGAAAAAAGAAAACCTATTCCCAAATGGGATTATAACCACAGGTATAGGGGTTAGGATTTACAACAAATATTTTAGGGAGACACAATCTGATCTGTAACAGTGATCCAATATCCTATTGTTTTTCCTTGCTATAATATTTTAGTGGAATTAACATGTTACACTTAGAGGGGGCGTAATTATTTCCTGATATTCTACACTGTGTGTACCAGAGAGGTGGGAACTAGCAGGCAGAAATAGAAGCCAGAGATTTACAAATGATACAGGGAGAAAGTAAATTATAAGGGAGCACTGGTGGCATAATGGTTAAGAGTTCGACTGCTGACCCAAAGGTAGGCAGTTTGAATCCACCTGCCGCTCCTTGGAAACCCTGTGGGGCAGTTTTTCTCTGTCCTATAGGGTCGTTATGGGTTGGAAATGACTCAACCGCAACAAGTTTGGTTTGGGCTTAGTGTGGTGTTGTCATAGCAAACTTATTTTGACCAATGTGATATGAATAATATTTACA